TTTACGAAAGTTGCACCTGCTTTTTAGCCAACTTGCTTAAGATTAAAAAAATATTTAAAATAAATCTTTCTATTGCCTTGCATTAAAGTTAACGTTGTTTTCTCGTACATCCAGTATATCGTATATACGATTATTTTTGTCTTTTCATATAAACTGTACGAAAAAAAGTAAGAAACGTTTAAAATGTCAAAAATCTACTTATTCTGGGAATATAAAAAATGTATGAGTTACGACACTTCATTGTTAACAGAAATATTTAACTTAAATAACTAAACCGAACAAGCATTTATCGTAAAAAACATACATGAACACACATAAATTAATCTACAAATCCATCTATAACAAACATACCTCACACAAAAATGATTCATTTTAAACAAACAATTTCGGTGATAACTGTAGTTAAATAAGTCATTTCAATTAAACAACACATTTCGTAATTATGTACCTGCCAAGTTGTCAAATACACATTGATAAAATATTGATAATAGTGAAACAGAAGTAATCCCTAGTTATTTGTAAACGTTAAGCCACAAAAAGTCAAATAGTTTTAAGATTATTGAGTAGTGCCACTAACACTAAAAATTTTCATTTGTAATTAATTTTGAAACAAAACCGTAAAAAGTCAGATCCGTCTAATTATAACAAATATCTTCATACCCAATTTAATCGCGTTGAACAATCGTTTTGTTTAATTGAAAATAATAGGTATATTTAAGAACTTAATTAAAACAGGAATTTGAATTAGTCTTTCACCTTTAACTAGAAAATATGTTGTAAAAATCCTGTCAGAGTAACACTTATTGACCTTAGAGTATTGATTTAACATAATAACACAAAATAAAACGCTACTTGTGTTAGTTGTTTTATTATAATTTTTCCACGTGAAAGAACACCCTGACAATGGTTTAAATCCAATTAATTTAATTCAAATTTCAAACATCCTTGAAATTTTAAATTTATTCACAATATTTAAGCCAAAATTGGTCAAGAAATATGGAAAATATAACACAATAACTTAAAAACACAGAACTATTTATTTTTTGTGATTAACCAAAGCACGCAATTTAATGCTTATAAATACATAATTTAAAAAACCATTGACAAAATCTAACAGTAAAGTTTAGTTTCTGCTCCGCTAATTTCGAATTAACAAAATTTACCAATTATCCAAAAATTGCGTCAAAAGTGAATAAACAGTGACTAATGATTTATAATATAAAGTTTTTACGGAGAATCTCACTTACCGGGACTATCGACCACTGAATCGAAATGACAATTTATCAAAAGACAATGAGGCGATTTAATCTTCGAGCCCACCTTCACCACGACATTCTGCACATCTCTGTAGACGTTAGTCATACCATCGAGAAACTCCAAATTAAAATCCCCGCTCGCTTTCTGAACATCCAGCTCAATGACATGATTTTCGTGAGCATTATTGATGATTTCTTGGACCTCGCCTTTGAGGAGCTCAACCGCCGTCACCTCGTTGGCGTAGCTCCCGGCGATGCGGGGCCCGATCTTTGTGAGCTTTTTCAAAATGTTGTGTGCTCTTTCGGCTATGAATCTATCGGGATTTTTCGCTTCGTCGGCTATTTTCAAAGGTGTGGGGAGCTGTTTCTCGATGACGATGACCGCGGCAAAGACCACCAACATCAGGCCGAGCACCCCGAGAAAATGGGAGGTTTCCATAGGCCGCAGGAATTTCGATTTGCCATTTTCTCGGTTCGAGGGGTCCGCATTTGGGGCCTGTGGGCTTTTGAGGCGCTTTCGCACTGATGTTGGATTCTGCAAAAAAAAATTCCTAAAACCTGCCAATATTTGCTAATAAATATTTATCACAGAAAAATATTTATGGCGTAATCTACATGTCCTCAAAGTAAACAAAATTCGTTATTGATAACACAACAAATTAGAGGTGTGCTTTCGGGAGTACTTTCCATTGTTTCTTTACAGTTTATTTAATCTAGTGAAGTAATTCAGGTTAGTAAAAGTACAAAGAACAAAGCCACAAAAATACCAGAGAAGACGACAAAGAAACCCACTGAACAAAGTACACAAAATAAACAATAACACCTGACATAACCTTGAAGTTGCCACTAGACCAACTTCGGAAAATTCGTAAGAATGCACTTAAATCGATCATTAACAAACAAATTACATCATTTTATGCAAAAATAGTGTTAGTTCTATTTATCTTACCGTCGACATGTCCAACGAATTACTAAGAAATGCTGGGGTACACGTTTTTTTATATTTATGCTATGATAAATAAATGAAGCATACTGATAAGATCATTTTCAAACACTTGTTTATTGGATTTGTCGAGTAGTTACGATATCGAAAAATTTTGATACTTTTATTTTAGAGAAAAAAATCTAAAGGTTGCGCACACAGCAACTTTTAATAGATTTATGCTGCTGGTGCGGATACTGTGCGCAGATTGGACGCATTTTGACAGCTTGAGCTTGGCAATGGCGTCGTTGGTCACCATAGCAACGGATGATCTACACCAGTGGCGTAGGGAATAGGTAACTAAAGTGCATTTCATCCCTATAAAACTTGTACAGTTGCACATAAACAGGTTTTGCCCCTGTCAATTTAGTTGTCAATTTATCATCTGCCGCACTTAAATGCCGAAAGCAACAAATGCAAATCAAGATAATCAATTAGTGGAGTACTTAGTGAAAACCCAATGAGTAGTGAGTACTACAGATTAACTGTCAGTTATAACTTAGTCTTTTAGAATTAAGACATGTTCAAACTATGGATAAATATGTATAAAAATCTTACATTTTTATGCTTTGACATTTTCCGAATTTTTTGCAACCAACGGTAATGAACAGTTTTAAACAAACTAGTTTTTTTTTATAAAAGCGAGTGTAGCAAGCGCGTTAATTTTTACAATATATTTTGTTGATTACATTATTTCTTAAAACTAGAGATTAATACAGGGTCATTCAGCTTAAATGACCCACCTGACCCCTCTTGGCAGACAACACATAATACATTATGCACTTATTCCTTTATTCAATATTAAATTTTCAAAATATCGAGAATCAAAGAACGATATTTTTCGATTCATGAAACTTTCAAAATTCGAATATGAATCAAGGAATAATTGCTTTTATTATATTATTGGTATTATTGTATTATAGGTTGTCTGCCAAGAGGGGTCTAATGGGTCATTTAACCCTGTATTGCCAGGTTTGACTAAATTTGTGTGTATCTTTGATTATAAAATTTTGTTTATTAATGTAAATTTATTTACATTTACATTATGATAATGATTTGACAACACTGTTATTAATATTCGCAACCAATGATACACAAAATTGTTTTTAGATTTTAGACTCTTATTAACTACCAATTTTATCTAACTTTAGAGACGATTTTGGGAAAAAAATAGGTTTCGAAATTGTTAACTGCGATATTAAATTATTTTTTTATTAATTAACAATTAACCCTTTTGTAATGCTTTATACTTACAGTTCTCATTTTTCAAATTTTCACAAGATTTTACTATTAATTTCTGTAACACCTTGTCTAGGATTATAACAAAAACTTACAGATTGGCCATGAAGCACCATGTATATTTTTACAATAACGTTTTTATCACTTTTCTCTTTACCATTACAATATTTGTTTCTTGATAAAAACTAAAAATTTGGCACAAGTTGATTGACCACATTATAGTCACAAATGACAACTTGACATTTCTAGCTATATGAAGGGAAACTTATTTCATTAATCAAGGAAGCTGTGATTTACACACATTATACACAGTTGGTAAATTTTTTTTTTAATTTTCTTGGTATAGTCAGTGATGCAGGTAAAGTTTTGCTGTCTCTTATTAGAGTACAGATAAATGGAACAAAATGTAGTAAATTATTTTATGTAAGTACTTAGAAAGTGGATAAAATACTTACCTTGATTATAACTATATTTTTTTCGTTTATTGTATTGATTCTAAATTTATTTATTAAACATGTAATTTAAATGTTATATAAATAAGTACTTCTTTTTATTGCATAAATATGTAAATATTTTTTAACTCAACTTCTCAAGCGTTTTTGCAAAAATTTTAAGTAATAAAAATCCTGCTACCTACCTTTTACCGCTATAATGCGGTTGTCATCTTTTTTGAGACCCTTTTCGCCAAGCATTAATAATTTGCCCAAAGTAATTTCAAAAATTTAATATAAAACCCATCAAATGAAATGAAATGGCTCGTCAAAATTAAAGGTCAAAAAATGATAAAAAATATCGAATTTTGTACAATGCTAAACAGAAAAGTTGATTATCTTGGCTAATGATTGAACAAGTTTGTTAAAAATTTTAATAAATTTTGTCTTAGCACTTTTTTATTTTTTCTAGGAAAACATTATTAGCTTTTAAAATTAGAAATTACAGTAAAATTACAATTAACCTAGTAGTGTGTTTGTGTTTATCAAATAACACCTATCGGTGTTTCGTCTGCAATACGATCCCTACTTTTTCAGGTATAATTTTGAGTCCGCCGCAGTCCGGTCATGAATTTCTGGAACTGATATGACCGTAGCCGCAATCCGGACACACCGACTAAAAATTCTAGCAATTTTTTGTTGTAGAGTTGGTGAACCTGACCCAGAAATACTAATTTCTAATAGTAAAATCACTTACAAATCTTTCAAAATATTTTTTTATGAAAAATACCTACTTAGTTAAATACATTTGTTTACACAGTTTACTGTTTTATAAAAACAAAAAAAAAACAAAATGTCAATTTAAAT